CAGCAGAACCATGTTGCTATGGCTCAGGGGCCTCGCCGCCCATAAGGGCGCTCCGTAGAGCGCCTTAGAGCGTACCACACCATCGTACAGGCGGCGGCACACACCGCCCGCCCCCCCGCAGTTGGGGAGCAGCCTGGCGAGCATTCCCGCATACTGTACCAGTTTTGGTGCCAGTATCCGGAAATGCTCACCGAACCCCCATTTGCTGTCGAGGACGAGACCAAGATATTTCATGGTCTCCCCGACAGCAATGGGGGTGCCGCTCACCGCGATGGAGTATCCGCGGGGGGGCTTAGTCCGAGGCCCATGAAAGAACATGGCCTCGGACTTCTCCAGGGCCACGCTCAGGCCCAGAGCCCTGATGCGGCGTACCACGTGGGCCGTGCCCGCAGTGGCGAGCACGCCCGCGTCCCGAAACGTTGGGCCCGACGCGGTGACCAGGGTGTCGTCGGCGTAACAAAGTACGCCGACACCCCGGAGATTGGCACCGCGCAGGACCCAATCGTATCCGATGTTCCACAGGAGCGGCCCGAGGACCGACCCCTGTGGAACACCGCACGTCATGTCCCGGCGGACCACTTGGTCCCGGGCCGGGTAGAAGATGGTCCGGTCGACGAAGTAGTCCGCCAGGACTCGCCTGAGGTACCCCGGGACGCGGTGGTACCTCAGCGCCTCCGCGATTGTCGTCCAGGGGATCGTGTTTAAGGCGTTGGCGATGTCAAGTGACACCGCCAACAACACTCCCCCCTGGCCGACAACCTCCTCGACCCTGTCCCTGAGTCGGGTGATTGCGTCGACGGTGGACCGCCCGCGACGGAAGCCGAACTGGCCGCCGCTCAGGTCGGGCCCAACCGCCTCCATGTGTGCGACGAGGCGTGCCGCGAGCACTCGCTCAAACAGCTTGCACGCCTCGTCGAGCAGCACGATGGGGCGGTAGGCCGACGGCGAGTCGGCCGGGCGCCCGTGCTTCCTGAGAAGCACGAGCTTGCCCGTCTTCCACCGTCGCGGGTCCCTCCCGGACGCCATGCACTCCGACAGCAGGGACAGCGTCTCCTCCTTCAGGACCGGCACGACCTGGGCGAGGACCCGCCCAGGGACGCCGTCCGGGCCCGGGGCGCGGTTCTTCTGCCTAAGCCTAAGAACCGCAGCCTCCAGCTCGGCCTCGGAAACGGGCGGGACTTCCTCGCCCGCTGCGGCCGGTCCTGAAGGATCCGGCGCCGCCATCCTCGGCGGCACCCACTCCGGCAGCGCCTCCTCCTGGTCCAGGTGCCTCCTC